CCCCCCCCCCCCCCTGTGGTCTCCGATGGTTATTTTTTCGCCGTCAGGTAGGAACAATAACGGCAGCAGCAGAGTGGGGCAGCACAACGCGTCGCTGCAGGAGTCGTCTCTCACTTGCAGAGGTCGAAGTGGACCTTGTGGGTATGGAGGAGGTCGCTGATTCGGCCCGGAGTGGCCACGATGCAGTGGACGCCCTGCCTCTGAATCGGGTCGATCTGGCTGCGCTTGTCCTCCCCGCCTGAAGATTGCAACAAAAACCCCCGACCAAAACAACCACGAAAAAAAAACGTGAGCGTCGTTACTTTATAGCAGCGAAAACATAACCAACAGAGACGAAAAGTACAGAGATGCAGATTTTCATTGCAGCAAAACGAAAACAGCCAACACTGCGGCAGGCGCGAAGACGCTTAACTGTACTAATCAAGCACGACATCGACAGACTCTCTACACACCTACAAGCTTCACGGGGTAAAAAACAGCCAGCAGCGGCCCGTTTATAAGCTTTGAAGGACACTTTCCTTGGCCGAGGTTCAAACAACAAAATTATTGCCACCATTGGGCACACAGGCGAATGCTAGACCATACACAGGACTAAGCGCGACCCTAGCGGCTGAGCCAAATTTCGTGCGGCAAACTTCTTATACCCCCAAACCTGTGACTTGTCCATATGAGCGGGCCTGTCATTGTGTGTGTGTTTTTATTGTTAGCATCGACCGCGATAACCGGCTGACCAATGAAAAGACGCCAGTCTCAGTGCGGGTGAAAACACCAAAAAAGTCTAACGGTGCATGTGTCTTCGTCCCATCTACAAATTGCCGTACTTCATGTCGCTCTCACCGATGCACAGAACCGTACGCAGCTCGGGAAAGCCCCCTCTGTGCAGGTGCTTGCAGAAGTAGTCCACGACTTCGAATGTCTGTCTCGCCAGTTCTCGCGAAGGACACAGGATAACCCCAAACGGGCCCTCTCCTCCCACCACCGGCAGTTTCATCTCCTGGAAAGAAGAGGCCAAACGTTGATAAATAAACATCTTTCGGCATGTTTTCGGGCCCATCACATATAACGAAACAATACAAAAAAAACTCCTATGCGACCTTCCTGTTGTGTGAGCGCGGCTGATGAGTTAGGCATATAAGCCGAAAGGCCTGCAAAACCGGCACCAGAATAGATGGGGACGAACACACACACACATACACACACTACCCGCTGAAGAAAGACCAACACCAACCAACAACAACGAGAGCACAAGGTCGTCTCCAGCTTGTCGGGACCCACTTACCTCCTCTAGCGCCAGCATGATGAGGGGTATGCTGAAGGTAACCGTCTTACCCGACCCCGTAAAGGCGATTCCGATCATATCCCGTCCGGATAACGCCACTGGAACTCCTTGGACCTGCGGGTGAATGTCGACAGTGATGGAAGAATGGGCACACCGGACGCAGTATTATTACCCGCGGTTTTAACGATCGTAGTGCAACATTGGGCATTGATAATGGTGTGCTAATGGTGGTGCGAGTGCTAATAGCGGTGCGAGCTGGATACAACGACCACTTTGTCTTCACAATACAATACCGTGTTGATATCTCCATCCACTACCAATGGGGTTTGATAATGCTGTCATCTGGGTTTCGCAGAAAAAAATATCGCCCTGAGTTACGGCTATTTAGTGGCTATGACATTGTGAGTACGCATAAATATTCAAGAAAGCTCCACTTCCACTTTCGATGCCGTGCACACGCTCAAGTGTCCGCTAGCATAACGAACACACGTCCCCACCATCACTTCTCCGTCAGAAACAACGCCAACACAACAGGCACGCAAAGAACATACCAATACGGCGCATGTGTGATGTTGTTGTTGCGCAAGGCTTCACCTGGATAGGGGTGGGGCGTTTGATGCCCTTCGCCTCAAGCGCGGCCAGCATCGGATCCGGCAGTTTCATCTCCCTGAACGACTTGATTGGCGGAGGAATCTTCTCCCCCTAGGAGTGTAAAAAAAGAAGCGAGGCAGCAGACGTGGAGCAAACTAAAAAATTACAAGTTGTTCTGGTCCTTTGGTGGTGGAGGATTGATCAGACGGTGCATGCCCGGTCTCTTGCTCTTGCTGGTGTAGAGGATGATCGATCCTCGACAAGTGTTGTTGTAAAAAAGTGGTGCTTCCCTGAACGACCTCGTTCCTGATCGGTCGCTTTGCCGCCAATCTTGTTTACGTTGTCGTTGCTCGTCCAACTGGTAGAAGTGTTCATGTTACGGGACTTCCTCGTCGTTGCTCCGTCGTCGAACAAGCATATCAGCGTACTTCTCTTTTTCCCTGTCTCTGTCTCCAAACTACCCTTTCGATTAGATGTTGTTGGTATTACGACAACCGGAAGTTGGCGGTAGTCACAGACAGTCAACAACAAACAGCAACACCGCCCCTTCAAAGCGCTACGGTACTCTGGAGGCTCCTCATGATTCTTGTCCCAGGGCATCGAAACAACAACAACAACTCACGTCTACGAGAATGCTCCACTTCTCCCTAAGCTTGTCGCAGTCTTCCTCCGTCATGTCCCTGTAGTACTTAGGGGGCCGCCAGGACGTTGTCAACGCCTCCGTGTAGCGGGTACCCTTGGCCACCTCCGCAGCACTCATCAAAGCGTTCGTTTGGACCTGTTTGGAAGACACCGGTTGCGTACGGGAACACTCATGAACGCGTTGTTTGTTTGCACAAGTTTGCAAGACACCGGTTGCATACTGCGTCGGGAGCAGCCTCACCAAAACTTTTGGTTGCACCTGTACCGGCTGCATGTTGCGTTGGGACCTCTAACTGCTGTCCTCACAGGAAAACTTGAACGCAGGCAGGACCACACAATCCGTGTACTACTGGGTTGGCCACCAACATGGAAGAGCTAGGTACACACCTGGAGCCCGAGCTATCTCTGCTCTGTTATCGAAGAAGTTGCTCGCATAGGGCTGAAAGCATGCCGCATATCAAACATCACTCTGCTGTCGTGAGCACTGCTTTCCACACGCACCATGAGGTCAAGCATTGCCACACAGGTGGTAGAAAAGATGACCTGACGCGCGCCAACAATATGGAATGCTTGAAAGCGGGTCCCCTCACAATACCAACCGAGCAACGCGGTCCCTCAAGAGCAATCGCTTCTGTCCACACTGCTGTCGTCGCTGGAAAGCTTCACATCCGGAACACCTTGACTATATACAATTTGCCGGTGCCAACGCTAACCGGCGGAATCCACTGCGACGCCAACACCTAACACCGACAACGGACCTGTGGAGCAGCACCGACGCATCAGAAAGTACACCAACACGTTCAAGACAGCTCAAACAAGTACAACCTCCGAAACAGCAAGGCGACAACTGACCATGCCACCGCCTTGTAGTTACCTGGTTTGCTTCCTTGAGCATGCGGTGCTCCTCCTCCTTAGCCTTCATCTGCTTTATCGTGCCCGCGTCTAAGTTTGCGGTGGCCTTCTTGAGCTCCTTCGCGGCCTCCAGCAGAGTGCGGGGCTTCTTGCTCCCTTCCGCCCCCGGTCCCGCCGCCGCCTCCGCCGCGTCTTCTCCTCCTCCCTCTCCGTCGCCAGCGGCGGAGGATATCGCCGCCGCCGCACGCTTGCTCGCCATCCGCTCGTCTTCCTCCCTGTTTGGAGGCCGAACACACTCTTACCGTGAGAACATATGCCGGGATGCGAGCAAGGGGGCTGGCTGTTGGTGATGCATAAGGCTGAGCGGCCAGACTACATATACAATCCTACCTCTTCCGTTGCACAGCGCAACTCCAGCAGCTACGACGGGCGAAAGCTTTAGTTTATAACCCCTAGCTCTCCTGTTGCATGGCGGACGACACGTTTAGTTTACAACCCCTAGCCCTTGCAAGGCGGGCGACAGGTGCGGTTACAACCTAGCTTGCAAGCGCCCGCTCACGCTGTGGCCGTCCCGATCCCCGTAAACACTGCCGTAGCCGGTGCATCAATAATGATCTGAACCGGGTTATACACCGCCACTCAAGCAGCAAAATAACAAAGAGACACACGCACCTCTCCTGCTCTAGCCTCGCGCGCTCCCTGTCCCTCCGGTTCTTGCCCAGCTTGCCCGCCCTCCTCTCCGCCTCTCTTCGTCTCCGCTCCTTGAGCGGGATGTACTCATCGTAGCCCTCGGCCTCTCCTGCTAGAGCCTCCAGTCGGGCGTCTTCGCCTGCCGCTGCAGCCTCTTCCTTCCTTCGACCGTACAGCTTGACGGAGGTCCCGGGCATGATGGCGTGCGAAGGGTGAAGGTCGGCGAATGTGCCTCCTAACAGCGTGCTGGGTGCCTTTGTCTAGTGTTGCACTGCGCTCAGCCCCTGTATTGGTAGGTCCCTCTGCTGGTCAAGCAGGAAAAACAAAACAATTGACGGGGACAGTCTTGCAGATATCTCCCTCCTTGATCAGAGAGGAAAAATCAACAGGCACACTACCAGTTGTATGGTCGCAGCCTCTTCCAGGCCCACACCGACAAGAAGCGAGTGCTGTGCAGTCAGCAGTGTGAGTCGCACCGCACCGCGCTGCAGGCTTGGGGGGATCGTGGATGAGAAATAAGTACCTCTAATAATATATGTGAGCATACACGAAGCCCCCTTGTCGTCTCACACAAACCCCCATCCCTTCTCGGGGTCAGCTCACACACCGCACCGACCATGAGCCCTCAACGTACATGCTGCCTTTTGGCGATATTCGTGGGAACCGCGGGAATGGCTTTGGGATTCCTCGGAACCCCGGTTGCCTTGTCTTCGGCCGCATCAAGACCAACAGGTGAGACCCAAGTTTTGCCGTGATGCTGCGCTTGTTGACTTTCCCATGTTGAAGGATTGCTCTGCCTCTTCGGCAAAAAGGCTGGTCCTGTCTGTCTACCGCACGCTGCTGTCTCGTCATGTGGCCGCGTGTTGCTGTGGCGCCATTCCGCGAGGGGCAGTCGCCTTTAGATTGCGTGTTGTAGGAAGCTGGCTTGCTGTTCGAAATAATTCTAGACTACATGACTTTCCCTCCAGGTGCGGCTGGATGCAAGCGCGTGTCCACACACGCCGCTCGATCGCGTACATAGCACTCCCTGCCGTGGACAAGCATCGCTAGCGCTACTCCAGCAAATTCCCACCATCACCACCGCCAGCAGTCGTCGCCCGCGCTGCTTTGATTATTCTTTTTGGAATCGGGTGAAAATCTCGGCGACAGGGCCTCGTATGCGCGATGGGAACATCTATCTTGGGGGGAGGCAGTGACTCGCTCGATGCTCTCTCCTCGTGTACAGTGCAACCGCAGTGCTGCTGCACAGCAGCAGTAGGCCGTATGCATACCCAAGGGCTACATAAGACACCAATCGTACCCTCCAACAACGACCTTCGGCACAACGTGTGCGTGTGTCCCTCCTCGTGCCGACCTCCGTATTCCCAAGGCACGGCTAACTCGAAAAAGCGAAGTCGATTTGGTATCGGCTCTCAACGAGGGAGTTTGGAGCGTTCATACAACCGCGCTGTATCGCCCCGCCACCCTTGGCGCTTTGTGTGCAGTGTGTTGGGCAAGGAATTAGAGCGTTTAGATTGCGAGATTAGAAGGGCGTGATCCCTGTCGATTTTTTGTCCTACGTGTTTTGTCCCGCCCCAAGCACGTAGCTGGACAAGAAGCTCCGAAGTACTCTTTCGCACGTATGGTTGCACAGTAGTACATACCCAGCGCGATGATCAACTCCTCCGCCTTGTTTATTTTTACACCTCCGGTATTCAACTTGTAGTTGTATGCAGCTCGGTACTGCTTTTGTGCCCCGCTTGTGCTCAAGTTGACGTCATGCGGCGGTTCACGACGAAAAAATCTTGCTGTCAAACAAACACCGCCGTGTCCCTCTCCGCTACTGCCAACAACGGTAAATATGAAGGTGCCGTCCGTTCTTGTCATGCACACCCGTTCCACGCCCTTTGTGCGACGTCGCAACTTTCAGTGGCGTCAAGTTCTGTGAGGGCGCGAGGGAGATGCGCGCCAGGAGCGGTGTCGGTGTCCATGGGGCTGGTGGACGCTGTTCCCGACAAGCTCAAGAACGTTTTCGCCTCCAAGCCGAAGCCGACGTCGAGAAGGTTTGTCGTTAGTCGCTGTCTGTTTCTTGTTGCAATTGATGCTAAGATAGCACAAGCAATAGTCTAGTTATCGAGCGTTGTTGCCGTCGGCATCCTTGTTGTGGGTGATGGTGCTGCTGGTGCCGTCGTCGTCGTCGTTGCTGCTGTACGTGATGGAGATGTTGTCATTGAGCGTTGCCGTTGCTGGAGGTACAAGTAGTGCTGTTTTCGCTGCGGCTGTTGTCAAGTTTGTTGTTTCTTGCGTCGTACTATCTAACTTTGCCCCTGCTCGTGAGAGCCATTTATCAAACCGTAGACGATACCCGGACGCGTTAGGTCGACATGGATGCTGTCTACCATAAGGGTGCGATAGAACGCGCGGGAGTGCGATCGATTTCAAAATGATTTTGTCCTAGAAGTATTTACGCACGGGAGTGCTATATCCCCAGTACGTGCGATACGTCACCCATCCCCGCGCGTTCTGTCGCATCCTTGCGGTAACAAACTTGTTTGCCGCCTGCCACTCTGCTACCACACCCCCCCCCACACACACACACGCCAGGGGGCGCACGGAGGGAGCAGAGCTATACCGTACGCTCGGGGTAACTCCCGATGCGGACTATTTGGAGGTGATGGAGGCGTGTGACCGGCTAAAGGAAAAGTACGCTGCAGACCGCAAGCAGGTGGGTTTTGACACACGCTGTCGCGCTTCTGCACACACCTCCTCGTTGAACGCTCTCTCTGCTTGGGGTTAGGGCTAGCGTATCTTGCCCGCTCCCCTCTGATGCCCCTTAGGGTTCGGGTTTTTGGTTTAGCACTTACTGGCCGCTCTTTCTGATGCGCCGTCCTGGAAGGAGCATTTCGAAAACGGTCAGAATTGGCTGGTGCCTGGAGAGTGTTTCGCCACGGGACGTGTGCATTTATGATTGAATGAAATACACGTGTGCAGCAGTGCAGCGTTGGAATTTCTTTTGTTATGCTGGTCGGGTACGGGCGGGTATCCGTGTGACGAAGGGAAGTCAGTATTGCTTGTGCGAGACCGGGCGGCACGCGCAGGGGGGGGTTACGTCAAAGGACGTGTGGAGCAGCTCGAATCCGAACACACCGCCGTAGATTGTAAGCTCTTATCGGATACGTACAAGATGCAATATGGATATGTGGGATCCTTGCTGTGGTGACAGGAGGAGATTTTTCTATGGGTGTGCTTGTTCTGTGTAGTACACGTCGACCTCCGTGCCTTCCGGCGACAGCAAGGTAAAGGTATGAACAAAGAGGAGAGCGGATCATTGATGGAAATGCGCGTGAATGTGGGCAGAGAGAGAAAGAGCTATCTAGAGAGGGAACAGAGTCAATACAGAAGATATTATTGTAAGCGAGAGCGAGAAGAGAGAGATTTTCGAATTACGCCGAACGCGAGAGTTTCGGAGCGTTATTATTTCTCTTGACGGCAAGCTGGAGATTTAGCAACCTCAAGGGTATCCCCTGACGAAAGATGGCTCGGTCAAGAGAAGCGCTGTGTCGAAAGACTGCAACTGTGCTTTTCAGTCATCGATCATGCTTACCGCCACGCAAACAGCCAGCCACCTACGATCGCGTCGCACGAGCCATGTGAACTCTCATTCATTCGATGCCCTGGAACCTTCACACCAACCGCACCTAGCCCGTATACCATCAGCCAAGGTACATTTTGCACCCGTCCTATGTGTAACCGCCATTGACAGCTTCCATGCGTGAACTCAACGGTTGGCATCTTCCGTTTCCTGCGTTCATCGAAGATGAAACGTCTATCATGCCGGTTGCTACTCGCGCTCTCGCGCAGGTCATCCGGGTCGACAAGGCCAAGGACGGCATCTTGTCGTTGAGACTCAACCAGGCCGTCAAGGGTAACATTAAGGTCCGTCCGTCGCCGTTGTTGTTTCGGTTGCTGATGCTGTTGGTGTCATCGTCCTGTCATGTGTTGTTCGTGTTGTCTTTGTGGTTTATGTCGTCCTGGGCGTTGCGATACTTTTGCTAAATGTTTGTGGACATGATATCTGCTTCCGTTGCTGCTCATTAGTTCTTTTCGTTTGTTCGTTGTGGTCGACACAGCGGTTACATGAACTACAGGCCAACGTGACCTTTCTCTACGAAAGGAATAGTTCCCCAAGCGGATCTTAGAGCAGGGTACAGCTCACTCTTTCCTACTACACCTCACAGCACTTCGCTCTCTACGTTCCGAAGCTGCGGAATGCGAGCTCTTTTGTCCAACGACTGAGGAATGCAAAATACCGAGTGCCCCCTCCCAAAAGATGTGCGCTAGTGTCCCTGAATACCAAAACGCGTTGCCCCCCTTCCCCATCGCCTCGTCCTCTCGAGGACGCGTGGTCAAAGATTTAACAACTGGGGCATGCACAACATGAGTACGCCCCCCCCCCCAGGAACGAATTGGCCATCGGTGATCGGTCTTGTGGGAACAGTGCTCCGTCCTCTCGAGGATGCGGGGTGCAATGGTCTAACCGCTGAGGCATGCAAAACATGAGAGCAC